TGTATGTGTGTGTGTTGATTGTTCATCAGTGTGAGGTCTTCAGAAACAAACGTGTTTAGTATTGTATGCCAAAATGCGGATTTATTCACGCCCCACAGATACTATTTATATACCCCTTATTAATTACATATCTAACGGATGAGCAGCTCATTTCCGTATGTTTGTGAAAACAACATTTTTGAACTAACGCTCTCTCCTCATGCATATGTTCTTCCCTAAAAAAATTGCTAATATTACATATTATGAATCGAATTCTATATTTCCATATTCATTCATGTATTTTTGGAACCAAATACTGTTATTTTTGGAACAGGAAAAACAAAGCTTACCACGGCCTAATAATAGCCCTGAAGTGGCCTAAGTGGGTTAAACTTATTTTAATTAGACCTAAGAAACCTGCAAGCCACATTACATAAGATTTTACTTCTGAAAATACCTCACTTGCAACAGAGTTTTAATAAAATTATAAAAAAAATGGTCACCCTTAAAGAGCAAAGTCGAGTAAATAAACACAAGGTGAGCACTAGATTTGTTAATAACTCAAAGTGAGATAATGATACTGAGGAGGAGAAGTGAGGAGAGGGGAGGAGAGGGGAGGAGAGGAGAGAGAGAGGTGTCTTAAAATTGCAGCTGATAAAGTGTTCACACTTAATACATATTTACATATTAACATATATTTTTATGTAAATAAGTTAGCATTGGTTGCAGAAACTTTTTGTTGAATCTTCTGGCAAATATACGCATTGGCATGTCCACATACATATTAAGCACTAGCTGGCATTTCCCGGCCTTTTCCGTTGTATCGAATAATAATTCCACCCATTTTCCGCCCATATTCCACCCATTTCCCACACGCAGCAAATGGAAATCGAGCCGTATGTCATTGTGAAACACATATCTTTCAAGTCATTCCGTAGTTTTTAAAAAAAAAGTTTGGATAAGCTACACATAATTTTTCACCAAGAAGAGGTGGGTTTGCTTCAAAATGTGGAACGCATATGAAATGAATTTTCTATAAATTTTCTTTATGTTCCTACTTTGTCTTCATTAAGCCAAAAATACGCCAGCCAATGGCTTTAACATGAGCAGCGGGATATATAAATAGCTGTCACTCTTCTTCCATATGGACGAAGTTTAAGTAGAAGTTTAAGGAGTACGTTGTTGGGAGATGCCTCAGAAAGAGAGAGAGAGAGAGAGAGAGATCTCGCCAGATCGATCACGTCTACTCTCTCTAACTTTGAACTTTTCAAAGCATCCATCTAATAAATAAAAATGTTTCATACAACGTTTTGCACGCTTTTTCCACACTTGCGGGTGGAATTTCCAAAAGCCTCATCTTCCAACTTAAGCATTCTAGCTTTTACGATTTATCCTTCAGTTAGTTGAATCTGCGGTGCCCTGTTACCGGATCTAAAATGCACTACAGAGTAAAAGTCTGCATACATGCATACATACATACATACATATGTTCATGTAGTTACATAGAAATCGCGTGACTATTTCTGCTGGGCCCCAAAAGCAACGGCAACGGCAACGGCAACTGCAACGGCATAAAAAGAAAAGCGCCAGACAAAAAGTCAATGGGTGCAGGAAAATCAGTTGAGGGTTGGTGCGGCAACATGTCGTGGCACGTTTTCTTCGCCTTCTTTTGCTTTTGGATATACCAGCTGAAAATCGTACGAGTTTCAGGGGAAATGTTGCGCAGCAACAGCACAACAAAAGTGCGGCGAATAGGGCGAAATAAGCGAAAGAGGGCGAATAGCATGGCAATGGGTTGCAATGCCTCTGACGTTGACGTAGACGTCAACTGTACAAGAGCACAGGGCGAAGGCGAAGAGAGCACGCGCTCTCGCAGCCGTCTCATTAACTGTGGCGGCGGGCTAAAAGGTCAAAGAGCACGTTGCTTACAATGTTTCAATGCTGCTTGGCCCCGCTGCTCTGCTCTGCTTTTGACAATTGGGTTTGGCCATGAATGAAAGCTGCGACCGGCAAACGCTACATACACATATACATACATGTATGTTATCGCAGACATACATGTGTATGTATGCGCGTATAAATGCCAGACGGAAAAGGACTGAGGGTGTTAGTATAAAGAAGTATTTATGAAAAGTCTTAAAAATATCTGAGATGAATTGAATGAATTTTCCAATTTGAAAGTAATTGTAAATAATAATGTTTCTTTAACACAACCGGAAAGCACATGCAATATATATTCATTACAATAACAGTTCTGTGAAAAGGCAACTGTACACAGAATATGTTGAGCACAAATAAAAAATGTAAATGCCAAACTTCAGTTTTCGCTCACATGTACATGGAATCGTCCAACTAAACCAACTGGTGAAATGTGCGCTACTTAACGTGCCCGCCGCAAGTGATAAACGACTGCAAGGGCACATGCTTCCGGGCCATAACAAAGCCGCACCCCAGAAATCAAAAATCAGAAATCAGCTCGCCAACGCGTCATTGAAAATGCATCAGCATTTGCATGGGCCATCGCTCGGCTCCGCTCAGCTGGTCAGTGAGCGCCGTCGCAATGGCAACAACAACAGAAACATATGACACATCCACAGCACACATGACCCCGCAGCGACCCACAATGCGCAGCAGAAGAAGAGCAAGCACAGCAAAACTCGCATGATTTTCAGTTGGTATAATAAACCGAGCAGACAAGAGAGTGTGGGAGTAGAAGAGCGACTGAGTCAGCTAGCTGGTCTCTCTCCAGTCTGGAAGAGAGCGTGCGCATATTTTGACAAGAAAGTGATGCACGTGCACGCGGCCAATAGGGGAAATGGTTGGGCAGCATAAGAGAGCGCCAGAGAGCACAGAGCAGAAATTGAGAGAGCTTTGTTTTTGTAAGCATATTTAAAATCATTTTTGATTTGTGGTTAACTGTAACTAACGGCACAACGTGCATTTTTGTATACATTGATTGCATACATTGTGATATTCTATTTGGAATGAGAGCTGACAACTTTTTTAAATTTGTATAATTGACAAGCAGACAGAAATCAATAGATAAATAAACAAATCATTTGTTCTATTTATTCGGTTGCCATTGGCTGCATTGCATAATGCATATGCAGCGTGTTGCTCAATGCATCCGCTCTCTCTCTCGCAAATTGAAACTGGGTCAACGTGCGTTGTTTACCGCAATTGCAACTTGTTAAAATTTAAAGTGGCAATGCCATCATAAAACACTTAAGAAGTGGACAGCGCGGCTGCCTGGGGGGAGCTCCATTTGTATTTCCGACACGGGCATTGATCAGGTGGCGTGACATTCGAGCCGCCGCGCCGGCAAAGGGAATCCGTCAGAGTAAGAGAGAGATAATGCACGTCTCTGTCTGTTTGTGCGTGTGACCTGTGTCAGCTGAGCGATGGACAGGCAGAGGCAGAGGCAGCGGCAGAACGTATGTAGCTAACTATGTAGTTGCATACGACATAGACACCGTTATATGAATTTAAAAGCTTACCTGCTGTATTTGCAAACGGTTATAGTAATTTCCAGAGTTTTTGCGTCGTTGTGTTTGGAATGCCGTTATTTGCATTGGCAAACGAGCGTAGGCGAGCGAAGAGAGAGCGAGGCAGAGAGTGCGAGAGAGAGAGAGAGAGAGGAGCGCGCACATGTAATAAACACCAAACAAATGTATTATTAAACATGAAATTAATTAGTAAACAATTATTTTACTTTGTTTTTAGCCAATGCAACATTTTAGTTAAACATAATCACACACAGATTTTTTTTGGCGTAATAACCCATTGAGAATTTGAGTGGCGCTTAATCACTTTAACTAATCCATGATTGCCAACGCTAATTGGGTTATTTTAATTTTTAACTTTCACCAAATTACACACTAATGCACATGTTTTTTGTTTTGTAGTTGCGCTTTTGCCAATTCACACTCACAAACACACTTACAAAGGAACTATCACGAGCCAACAGCTCATTCGCCGCCGGGCGAAAAACGCAAAGCGATTTATTACTTACACAAAGCTTTAAAGTTAGGATTTTGCTTTCAATTGCGTTTCAAGATTTTAGTATGCGTTTTAATTTCGCGCCCGCATGTACATATATAAACACACAAACTTCTTTCAATAGATATGTGTATGTATGTATGTATATGTGTATGTACGGCCACAACGCGTCCAATACAACGTTCTCAAAACACGTTGAGTTTGCTTCTGATACGTGTATAAAATGTCGCCGTCGCTTTTGCCACGATTATTTTCACCGTCTGATTCCGACCACTCACTCACGCACACACAGGCAAAGCTGTTTGACGCTCTCTCTTGCTCTGGCTCTTGCGGTCAAATCTGTTTTATTATTACCTACTTGTGCAGCACATGCAGATGCAGTACGTTTAGTCGGTAATTAAAATAAGTAATGTTAATATTAAGAGATTTATGTGTCCCATTTAAGCGATGCTGCGGCTTTTACTATTATTTACACGCGGCGCGCTTCCAATTGTTATTTTCATTTCTTTTTCTTGTTGATGCTTATATCGTATTAAAGTATCGATAGTTCAACTTGAAAATTTAAATCTACGATATTTCTTACCGATTCTAATGTTATTGATACTAAAACGTTTACATATTGGGACAAACTGTGATTACGATTCTCGCTTGCATGGCTATATGTATGTCAAGTGCATTTTCTAAAGCCTTGGACTTATTAGACTGCAAATTAACTGTAATAACATACTTATCGATACATTTTATGCAACAAATGTAACAAATAAACATCGGCAAATTCAATGATATCATGTACATCCACCCAGTCGGTACGCGCAGTCCATGCCTTTACTTTTGTGTTTACGCCAGTTACCTTCGTCATAATTTACTTTGCAATGACAGAGTGCATATCACGTGTTTTTGGCGCTGCCACTCAGTAAAACAATTTATTTGACGAAATTGCGCAGCCAGTGCTTCACTTAACGAATCATCAAAGTCTACCACCCGCGCGAAACAAATAGTACAGACACAAACCCAGTATTACAGGCACATGCAATTTTCTCCCGTGGGTTTGGGTTTATTTTACCTTTAAAATAAGTGTACGTATATAAAATATATAAAAAGTAAGGAGATCTTAATCACATCTATTGGGGCTCGAAAAAGGTATCTCTTGTAAAATCATGCACCAAATCCCACTCGGCAACACATGCGTAGATCAGAAACACAGCAAAGAGAGTCCACGAAAATATTCCCACCGAACGTCGGGCCACGAAGTTAAAGGTCAGGCACAGCCACAGTTGGGCTACAATCGCCAGCAAGAGAAATATGTAACAGTTGTCGCCCTCCTCGCCGTTCAGCCAGTACGAGGATCCCTTCAGCCGCACGTTCGTGTTAAACAGAAGGGCCACGCCCATGCCCAAGGCGATGCCTGCAGGAGTAAAAGGATTAATTAAGCGGGTTAAGACTATAATAAAATCATTTATAAACAACAACAAAGTATTTGCCCTGAGCCTGTGGGAAATATTCAACTTTTTCTATTTGTTCTTATTGCTCGAAAAACAAAATTATAAAATAAAATTGTCCTTAAAATATTTAACGCAGACGTCGGCGCAGTTATGCGGAAGTCCTGGGTTCAAGCCCCCGAGGAGGAAAGCATATTTATTTCATACGAATTAATAAAATTTTATTTTTTTGTATTATTTTTAATTAATATTAATATTAAGGGGAATAGCCTGTTATTACCCGGCTTTGTTTGGACAATGCTTTCTTTTCTCACTTATTACCCGCCCATTTCCCAAAGGAAGAGCCTGGGAGGATTACTTACTGAAGAATGGGCCGGCACAGCTGGCGGCAAAGGCCATTCTCTCATAGCCCTGCATGGCCAGGGCGAAATTGGACATGAGATCGATGGTGGCGTTCGTCATCGAGCCGAAGGTGATGTCCACGAATTCCTCGCTCAGATTCAGCACGGTGCCCACAATGGAGTTGAGCACCTCGATTTCGTTGACGCACAGAACGATGATGACCAGCGAGCTGGACGCGCTCAGCGTGATGAACAGCTGCAGGGCTCAGGTCAGATGCGGTTCGACGGAAGGTCTTCGTTCCACTTACCAAATGGTAGGCGGGTGGCACATCCGTCCTGGCGTGCAGGAATACGAGGATGGCCAGGGGCACAGTCAGGCAAAAGGACCACTTTGAGTAGTTCAGGTTGAACTCAACGTACCAGGACTTGTAGACACTGGCGAACTTGGCTGCAGAAGAGATATGAGACGGGGATGGGTAAGCTCAAAGGTCAAAGGTTGACTTGCATACAGTGAACCGCGGTGATCAGGATGAAGGGATTCGTGACAATCTGCGTGCAGTTGAGCAGCTTGCTCCAGCCGTGCTTGCACCTCTCGTAGTCCACCACGGGCACAAACATGGTGATCAGCAGCACCAGCGGCATCTTCATGATGATCATCAGCCGGCCAAAGCAGCCGCTCAGCTTCCACTCAACAGCATCGAAGGGATTCAGCGTCTCCAGGAACTCCGCGCCGAGGAATCGATTCTTGGCGTTGGACCTGCTATGCAACATGGTCCGATTCGTCTCGTAGTCCACCTGTTCCGGCTTCTGCTCCGACAAGGGCGTCGCAAAAATGTCCGCCAGCGAATTACTGGAATTCCTTCCTTTCTTGACGAAATAATGGGAGTTACGCTTCTTAAAGTTCATAGCCTCATTCTGCTCCAAGCGCAACAGTAGGGCTGTCTTCTGCTTCAGTTCCCTGCTATTGGTTTGCGAGGTTGTCTGCGCCCTCAAGGCGCGTATCTCCACTCGCAGCTCTGTGTGGCAAGACGAGGTAAGAGTCTAGTCGGCAATGTCCGACTAGGAGATGCCCTGTACCCTCCTTCTAATAGTTCATGCTATGGGAAATGCTTGCTCGACTGACTTCGGTGTTACGAGTGAGACCTACATAAGCATTCTAGGTCTAAATTGTGTCTAAGGACTAAGGCCCAGAAAGTTAATGTGGGGAGTTATCGGTGAATTCCAAGGGCAGGTCGACCTGCCCTCGGCTGTCAAAACTGATCGCATATCCTACAAAGGGTAGGTCGACCTACCCTCGGCTGTTAAACAGATAGTATATCCTACAAAGGATCGCAGATTCCTTCTTCTCTGCCGACTATCAGGGGGTACAGGGTGAGACGGTGTGTGAAACTTACTTCTTATGGAATATCGCACCAGAAGAAGGTCGGCAACATTGACAACCAAATAGGCGACATAAACCGAGAGCAGCACTGCGACCCAGTCATGATCATAACTATATTTGGTCATATTATTAGCGAGAGACTTACTTATCGACTCTGTTTCGGTCACACTGTCTCCTTTGACCATGATGAAGCGCAGCAGCTCGACGGACAGCAGCAGGAAGAGCAGGTTCTGCGCAGTGCTGTGTCCATCCATTTTGAAGGGCTTCAGATAGCAGACCATGCCCCCGGAGAGCAGCAGTATGGCGAGGGCATTGCTAACGATGCTCGTGAATAGAGCCGCATTCTCCTTGATGGGCATCAGATTGGCTATCAGATCCGGGGATGAGTTGGCGAAGGCCAATATCGTGACACCAGCCAGGTACTCGTTCATGTGCATCTTGAGCGACAGAACCTTAAGAGCAGGCGCTAGGCTTCGATATGGATGAAATGATAAAATGGATGCCCAATGCAATGATCTACCTAGCTACTTACAACGTATCCACCACAATCGACATGAGAAGCACATAGAAGAGCGCTACGATGAACAGCAACAGCATCACGCAGAATTCCGTTGTCTTGTCGTGAATGCGCAGCATGCAATACATCATCTCGAAGTAGTTGAAGTAACTTATTATGTGACGACATTCCTCCAGTTTCTGGGCCATCGTGCAGCGATATTGGTACGACACCTTCATCAGGCTGTGGCAACTGGTCTGTGGAAGGGCATTTAAAGCAGCCTTGCGTGCCGAATGCAAACGGAATACGCACGTTGGACAGAAAGTGTCTGAACTCGTCCTCAATCATTGCCATCGCATCTATTTCTCATTTATTTATAAACTTGTATAAATACAAACTGGTACATTTATTTCAAATCCTTGACAGAATACTAGTGCGTAGTGAAGTTGATATCTAAGCTGCTTTTAAGATAGAACCTAGCTGGATTCAGGCTGCATTACTTTGCGGGCATCAGATAATTCCTAGATGACCATTCCAATCAAAATCCTAAATAAGTTTTCCACAAATCAAATGTCTTTCTTACTCTCTTGCTCTCTGAGGAAGATTCTCGATTCTCGGTGCCGAACAAAAACGAAGTCGAGTTTGGACCTGTCGCCACAAATATGCATGGTCCCATTCTTTTACTCTAGTTGTCCTGTCTTTATGTTGTATGGAATACTGCTTTGAGGAAAAGGACCTAGAGTACAGATACGTTATAATGCAAGGCAGAGAATCCTTGACACCTGAGCGTAGAACTTCGGGTGGGTGGAGGGGAAATATGTTCTCTAATATTCCATCTTTAAAAAAAAAACAAATGCTATATTGGACCTAATATCATAAGAGTTTTCATTCATTCAAAGAACAAACAAATTTCAACAATATTTCGCTTTACAAATGGTTTCGATTTTATTTAAATGCTTTCGCTTTTTAAGAACTGCATAATGTGTGTATGTGTGTGTGTGTGTGTGTGTTATTTGGATACGTACAGTCCTTAACGTTGGACATTTTTTTTTGTTTTTTAATAAATTTATATTGTTTTTATTATTTATTAATTTTGGCTGTAAGTACCTACGGGAGGGATTCTTCTTAATATTTGTAATTTCGTTAGATTAGTAAATTTCTGATTTCGTTTTTTGTTTTTTTTTTTTTTTTTGTTGTTAATTCTTAAATTCAGCATGTTTTTGTGTGTGTTTTTTAGCGATACTATTTTGGTTCAAGTCCTTGTGTTCTATGTACATATTTAAACTAAATTAAATGCTATAAATTACTAGTGTATGGGTTGGTTTGATATTTGAATCTCGCGTTTAGATTGGGTCCTGTAAGTGACCTCGAACATAAGTACATAGCTCTGTATGGTGTGTGTGTGTGTGTGTGTGTGTGTTGGGTGTGTGTGTGTGTTGGGTGTGTGTTACAATAAATAACTCTATGTTTAAGAATGCCTTAGGTGCTAAATAGATACATACAAAGCTGCTAGGCATGCGGATGGAGCATAGCAGCTGCTATATATACTACACACATATGTTAACTCTAGATATATGTCCTATGTGGAAATTAACTAACATGCATACACATATACAGATTAAGATACAGATACAGTTAATGGCTACAGGAACTAGTGCCAGGGCTAACTCGTAAAGTTGTAGCTGCGCACCGCACGTCCGGGCGTGACCAGCTCCACCTTGATGTTGGCCGTGGCCGTCACCTTGGTGGTGTTGCTGTCCGAGTGCGTCGTCTCCACGGTCACCTCCGGCTGCACGACAATGCTCTGCAGCTCCGGCGGCCCATAGCCGCCGGGCATGGGCTGCGCGGCCTTGTGGTAGGATGGCGGCGGCCCCGCATAGGAGCAGTTCGAGCTGGAGGCGGCGCCATGCGGTGGTTCACGTTCGTTGCGATGCTGATAATTGTTAATGTTGTTCATGTAATGATTGTTCAGATGATTCGGATGGTGACTGTGCGTGGGCGGCGTGGGCGGCGCACTCCAATCGTTGTGCATTTGTATGGACGAGTTGCTGGACTTCCACGACTGCGGCTCCTCCGTAATGGTTGTCAGCGAGGGATCGTTGATGTTCACGTCCTTGTGATAATGGTGCGCCTTGTGGCAGTTGTTGGAGCCGGAGCTGCGCGACGAGCCACGCGAGCCATTCACCACGAACGACTTGTTGCAGCGCTTGCTGCTGCGCATGGGCACCGGCGAGGGCGTCGATATGCGATCCGGATGCTCCAGCGGCACCAGCTCCGCCTCCGGGCCCAGCATGCTCAGCAGAATGGGGAACACCACCAGACTGTTGCAGGCGCCCACGCAGAGCACCACCAGCAGCAGCCAGCAGAAGTGCCGTATGACGAACTCAAAGGGCGACGTGGACAGCATAAACACGGCCATGCCGGAGGTGAGCATGCCGTGCACCAAGGGGCCCAGCGATAGCTGCATGGCCAGATGAACGCGTCGCTGCCGATTGCCCACAGACGTCATGAATCCCTGCAAGAGTGGAGAGTATGAGCTTGAGAGAGTTTTCACTGGAGGAACCAGCCCTTTGACCTACCAGCGAGATGTGCACGTTGAAGCAGAGCATCATGCCCACGCCCAGTATGAGAATGACGGCGGGAATGGCGGACAGCTTGATGCCCAGCAGTGTCATGGCGCCAAAGATTTGGGCCAGCGAGGCAAGCACAGTAACGATCACAAGCACAGCAGCCCAAACGGAAAGCAGCAGCAGCGAGACCAGCACCAAGGCGGCCAGCAGGGCGCAGGCCAGAATGAGGGCCAGCGAGGACCTCAGCGTCATGTACTGTTCCCAGAAGATGAACGGAATGCCTAAAGGATGCAACAGATTCAGGTAAGTAAAGGCTTCAACCGGTCAACCTTAGTCAAAGGCTGTCCTGCAAGGATGTGGTTCAACACCTACCTGACGGATAGTTGGGCAGTCCGAAGCCCTCGTATTTGACGCTCAGATCGCGTATGTGACCAATCAGGGTCTTGATCTCGGACGTGTCCGTCAGGCCGTGCAGATAGAAGGGCATCTGGGCATAGACCAGCGGCAGACTCTTGGGTATCTTCAGATCGTACTCGTTGGGCGCATGATAATACTGGCGCGGTTCCGGATAAAGTTTGCCCTGAAAGACATTAGGGATATAGTGGCTCTTCTTTGAAGGAGCTGGCGGGGCGGGAGACTCACCTGTGAGGCACCATAGGCAAAGACGTCGTTTGTTGCCCAAGCGGAGAGATAGTTGTAGAAGGCCTTGGGATTGATAATACCCTCGCTGTTCACGAGACGATTCGTCTCCACCAGGTTCTTGTCCACCGGATTGTCGACATAGCCCGTCTGGACAATCAGCTTGTAGGCGAGAATCGCATCGCTGCTGGCATTCGGATACCAGTTCTCCTTTGTCAGCCGACCGTCGCGGACCTCCTCGTCGAAGATGCGCTGCAGATTGCTCAGCCAGTCGCGGAACAACAGCAGCCAGAAGTCGGGCAGTCCGCCGTTGTCGTTCTTGATGACGTGCGGCACCCGGACAAAGGCTTCGTGGTAGTCGCAGAGCAGCTGCTGCTGCGTCGGATACTCGAAGTTGCCCTGGGTCACCGCGTACATGCTGTAGAAGCCAAAGAGTCGCGTCTGGGCGTCCAGGAACTTGTGCTCGTTGCTGTGCTTGGGCACCAGATCGATAATGTCCAGTCCATCCTGCAAGGCTGTCGCCTCGTACAGGCTGAAGATGACGGCGCACAGGAAGCCCATCACGGCCAGGAACTTGACCCAGCTGCGCATCAGGAAGGGCGTATAATACTTGTACGCAAACCTGGCCAGCGAGAAGGCTGGCAGCGAACTGCCCACCACGCCGCCAGCTAGGCGCGGCTCCAGCAGCGGATTCTGTGCCGGCTGCTGCTGCTGCTGCTGTTGCTGCTGCTGCTGCAGTTGAGCCGTGCGATTGTTGTTGCAGTTCTTGAGATGACGTCCGCCGCGCATGCTATTGTTGTTCATGGTCAATTGCGGCGACTTGGGCTGCTCCTTCCAAATGGGAAAGCAACAGCAAAAGATGTCCGCACGTCCCGCGGTGCGACGGCGCAAATCCAACGATATCATTGCCGGAAAAACCAGCAAAGCGGCAGCCAGATTGAAGCACATCACAATGGCCGCCTGCAGGCAGAAGACTTTGAGCGCGGGCACGGGAATGAAGACCGCCGCAAAGAAGGAGCCCGCCGTGCTGCAGGCGCTGAACAGTATGCTGGGTCCGACCTTCTTCAAGATCAGCTTGGTCTGCTCCTTCCGGTTGCTTTCCGCATACGCGGCCGTCAGCATGAAGATGTGATCGACGCCGAGGCCCAGCGCCAGGAAGGGCACCACCTGCGTGCTCGCCGCGTTGAACACAATGCCCAGCAGGGCGCACAGGCCCAGCCCGGCGGCTGTGCTGAAGCACATGAGCAGCACCCCGGCGACGCCCACGCTGCTCTGGCCGCGCACAGGATCGCGCCAGCGCAGCAGCGTGCAGAAGGCATAGAGCACGGTGGCGGCGACGCCGATCACAATGCTGACGGCGCTCGGATGCGAGAACTTGGCCAGAATGTCGTCCAGCGTGGCCGAGCTAAACACATAGATGTCATAGTTGGTCGCAATCCGGGACTGTTTGCGCAACAGCTGCTCCACTTCGCGTGAGAAATTGCGCTGCCAGGCGTTGAGCACCTCGGCGGCCTTCTGCTGTGTCCAGCCAATGTGATGAACCTTGTAGTGATCCTGCCACTGGTCGTACATCTCCTTCTCGGTCATCAGCTGCACCACCGACTGCAGGGCCTTGGCCTTCTTCAGGTGGCCGCTGCGATTACGCTGAGCCCCGCCCACAATCAGCTGCTCCGGCCAGTGCATGTGCTTGGCCGCATAGCCGTAGCAGCCGCCGGAGAGGATGGCTCCCACATCCGGTGGCTGCCGGCTGTTCTTGTTGGGCGCCGTGTCCGGGCACAGCGGATGCAGGGGATTCAGGCAGGGCTTCTCCATGTAGCCACTGCTGATGGCCGCCCGTTTCATGTACTGCTCCACGGTATCAAAGTCAAAGCTGATCTTCTGATCGGACATCTGCTGCTTCATAAACTGCATCACCGCCGACGGATTCAGAGTGCTCCACATGAGTCGCTGGTTGAGGCCGCTGCGAGAAGAGGAAGTAGGGGAATTTCAATTTCAGGCTCTCGGAGGCATCCCTTTGCTACTTACGGTATATAGACGGGCGTTTCGGGTCCCAGCAATTGGCTGCCCTCCCAGAAACAGTCGAGCGGCGTAATTATTGAGCACGGTATCAGATGCTTAAGGATTTGCTCAATATAATAGTGTCCCTCGAAGCTGGGCGTGGTCGGTGAATTGCACATGTCCCGCAGGCCCCATTCCGTATCGTACATGTGCACCTTGACCGCGGTGGCCTTGACGAGCACCTCCAGATGCGATAGCAGCGCCTGCGGATGCAGCACCGATGCATTCGGATCGTGTGCCGTCTGTATGATCAGCTGATGCGTCGAGGACTCATCCTCGCCGATCGTCTTCTGCGTATAGGCCAGCTCCGATTCGAGCCGGCCGCCCTCCTGTATCCACAGCTGATGCACCTTCGAGTGTATCTGGGCACTCTTGAGGCCCACACAGAACGTGCTCAGCACCAGGATGGCCACAAATAGCACCTTGCCCGCATGCTTCTGCACGGAGCTGCCGAGCGTTTCGAGGTGGGATTGGAATACTGAACGCAGATAGATCGCCGTGCGGTTGCCACGAGCCTTGCCCTGCAAATAAACGGAGACAAAGAGGGAGAGAGAGGGATAGAGAGGGAGAGAGTGTGTGTAAATAAGTGAGCCTGATATTTGCTTTTTGGTTTTTTTTTTGGGTTTTTTTGGTTTATGCCATAAATAACGCATTAAAATTATAACGAAACAGCGTGTGGCCCGACCGCAGCCATATAATTTATATGTTTTTGTAGCATCTGCGATGAAGCCATCATCATCATCATCATCATCATCATCAGCATCAGCATCATCATCATCATCATCATTCCATCCGACCAGCAGCACCCAACGGACCCAGCCCAGCCTACGAAAACAACACAAGATGCCGCAGCCGACGCTGACGCCGACGTCGACGTCAACGCAGCCGCAACCTATAATCGTTGGAAGCGCTGCCCAGGCCCAGGCCCAGGCCCAGGCCACACCAAGCCTGGTCGGGCCTCGCTGGCTTTCTCGTCTCTTCCACAGCGCTGCACGGAAATTGAGCCCCAAATAATGAGCAGCACGCTAACGTCTCAATCGAACCTTTAACCGACCAGTCATTGCACAGTGGGACGCAGTCAATTATTGACTTTGAATCTGACTCTGACTCTGACTTTGATAGATCGTCAAGGGAAGAGAGTGGGGCGGGGCGCAGTAGGGGTGGGCATAACAAATTGTTTTTTTTTTTTTTTGTTATTAATGACGCGTGCATCCAACTTTATTTGACTAGTAAAATTATATACCACATCATAATAAAAGTAAAACAATTTCTAAAAGCTTGTTTCAAGTAAAATGAAAAAAAAATAGATTTTATTTATCAGTTGCCCTGCTCTTGTCCTTATTTTAACATCTACATTATCCTGGGGTTACTTGTTAAGAGAGTTAACTTTACAAGCAACTTGTCAATTAACATTACAGGCTTACACTTTACTTGTAAACATGGCCTCTTTCTCTTGCCTTACTGAAAGATTTCTTATAAGTTATAAGGAATGGGAGATACTTTTAAGCAATACAATCTTTGCAAGTAACTTGTAAATTAACATTAGCTTTAACATTAGGTTTACAGCTAACTTGTAAACATTGCCAATTAACTTTCTCTTGTCTCACTGAAAGTTTTCTAATAAGCTACAAAGAATAAAACATACTTTTAAGCAATGCTCACTTTACAAGTAACTTGTAAATTAACATTCGCTTTGCATGTTACTTGTAAACGTTGCCAATTGCTTGTTTAGTTTAACTAGTGGAATTTCCTTGGAGCCACAGAGAATAAAGGCTACAGATAATTCCTACATTTACAAGTACAACTTTTAAGCTTCAACTAAAATTACAAGTTGCTTTTAAATGATGTCAGTTTCACACGTTAGCTGTGCAACATTCTCGTTGCTTCTGGTTGCGCCTCACTGTGCAGCGACGCCGCACCCAGCCACAGGTACAGAACAGACATTCCAAGCTGTGCATGAAGCGTCTCGATCAGGGGACTGGGCGCTGTTTAAAGTCTGTGTGGGGCAGGCTCCTTTTGCTTTTATCGCTTTTCACAGATTTTCCGCCAGTGAAATGGGCCCAGCGTTAGGTCCAAATCAAGTTTTTTTCGGTGTGTTTTTTTTTGTGTTTTGTTTCGTGCTTTGTTGTTGTCGATTGTTGGTTTTTGTTGGTAAAAGGCGCAAAGCTAAAAAAAATGACTTAAGTGGCATTGACTGCAAGGAAGACGGCTTTATTGTTGGGCAGTCAGTTTATGACTACCGTTAGCATAGAGACGCGAGCAGCGACGCGCACGGAGGCGTCTGCGGCGCTGCGGCTGCGCGGGAGTCGGCCATAAATAAGCCATGCCAAAAGGTTACCTGCGCTTAATGTCTGTGTTTGCTTGTTTGAAGTTATGCATGGCATTTGTGTTGGGTGCGCCACCAGGTGAAGCTCGAGCTGCAGCTGGAGCTGAAGGTGTGTGGCATGTGGCACGGAGAGAGTGCCACACTTCCTGCTGCTTAGCTATGCAGTCAACGTCGCCGCCGTCATTTCCGCAAACTTCAAACTCAGAAGCGGCTTTGACTTTGTCGCTATTAATTAAGTCATTGGCGGCGACAGCGACGGCGACGTCGACAGCGGCGGCGACAGCGGCGGCGACAGCGGCGGCGGTGTCTCTTTCAAGCTGCGCCGCATGTGGCGAGGCGACTGCGTTTGCAATGTTCGTGGAATTTTTCCATAATTTGTGTGTGTCTTGCCTAAAAGAATGTTTTTCCCTGGTCGCCAGCGAGCAGCAAAACCTAAACAAAAAGACGCACACAATTCTCAGAAACTCTGTACCGGGTGCAACAATGTTGTAACTGCCGCAGGTCGCAGCAGCAGCAGCAGCAGCCGACGCAGCAGCAGCAGCCGCTACTAAAAATAAACTTAATCTAGATTTGGCAGTCACTGCAGTGCAGCTCAAACTGTGCGCGATTGAGCCATCACAGCGGCTGCTGTTAACGCTTGTCAGCCTGTCCCTCCCTCTGCCTCTCCTCCTCCACCTCCGTTCGTTCGTTTGGCTGTCTCTTTTTATCCGCAACAAGCCTCGCCAAATGTAGCCTGACCATGTGACATATCATCAATCTTGTCTGCTGTTGTTGTTCTGCTTCTTCTCCTCTGTCTGCCTCTTCTTCGTCTTCTTCTTCTTCTTCTTGAGAGTGCCCAGCTACAGCAACAAACACCCGCAGCTGCCGTCGCTGCCAACGTCGACGTCGTGAGGAAATGTCACAAATTGATTTATGGCCTCTGCTCAGTTTGTTTTCTTCTTCTTCTTGTTGTTGTTGTTGCTCTTAGTTAAGCGGAAAATTGTATGTGCAGCATTTTCTTTGTAAGGAGTCCGGCAACTGGGAACAGCTTCATTAGAAATGCGCATTTTCGGTCCTAATCCGCAGCGCTTGGCTAATCCCACGGCTCACAGTTTGAAATGCACTACGCTGTGCCGCCGCGCCGTGTCGAATGCGCGACAGAGATGGCAAGCGAGCGCTTTGACAGGTGCATTGCAAAGGTAAAAATACGAAATACGTTCAAACGAAGTCGAAAACAGAACGAAGTCTCAGCTTGAGCGAGCGCCCTCTCGGCTTTTCATTAGTTATAAAACAGTAGACCATAGATATACTATATATATATATATATATACATATATATATATAACGGACTAATCAATCAAAGAGTTCGTGGCGAGACTGACATATGCATAATTTAGCCAAAGAGCCAGGCACCCCCCACGGGCTTTGACTACTTAATTACACGGCATAAAAACCTTTCCAAATCGGGAGAGAGATAGAGAGATAGAGAGAGAGAGATGGAAAGGCTGCCCGTCTACTTATATGTGCGCCCAGTTATAGTTGTGCCGCCATAAAAAACGAATTCAAAATATTTTTAGCATAAAACGAAACTCAATATATGTATATCGCCGGACAAAGGCGACGTGACGGACCACCCAGCCGAGCCATAATTATCATCTGGGCATCGAGTGAATACTCATAATATATACGGATACTCATAATATCTATAGATATTCATAATTATATATAGACATAAGCCCGTCTCCGTTTGGGCAGTCATATCCGTATTAGCGACGTTTTGTTCCACTTGTCCAATGGAGATGTCAACGCACTTTTATACACTCTACAGAAGGGTATTTTTATGCGAACATCAAATGTGTCAACTCCGGAAGAAATATCTAACAACACCTTTATCTCTTTGCAGATACCAGAAATCATTCATACTTTAGATATAGATAGATAGATATGATGGACTAGAAAGGTTTTCTAGGATAAGTTATCCAACCTTTAATATCCTTCACTATCCTATCCTTTACTGTCCTTTACTATCCGGCAGTAACTATGCCGGAATCATTTATACTTCATTATTTAGAGTTATTATATATCAGGGATTTTTTGATATATTATCCAAACTTGAACTGTCTGCAAGAGTATTCAATCTTCGGCGTGACATTCTACGCTCTTTATAGGAAATCATCTCTATACATGGAATATGTATTTGAGTCATGTGGGAACCCATAATTTATTATCATATTCACATAAATTCCGAGCTTAAGCCGTATTTGTGTACGTTCTTCTGCAGACGGGTCTACTTATAAGCCTAGTTTACGGCTTTCACATTGATTCGAATTGGAGAGAGAGAAAGGTGTTACCCACGAATTTATGGGCAAAGTGTGAGATATTGCTGTGTACTAGATTCATAATTCCCGAAGAGATATAAGCTTCAGCTTACTTTATTAGAAGACAGAAGGCAGAAGACATATAATAAAATCGAATTTCAAAAATGAGCTCAAACAATTTATGACACGATTATGATTCGCATGGAGTTGGTGAAGCCGCTGCCAAACTTTATGCTGGTGACAATGACCACGGCATCATCTTTCTTGATGATGCCCACGCTCTTGGCCAGCTTGACGCCGTGATCCACGCGATCGTCGATAGTTTTCTTCGACTTGGAAGCGTGCGTTGAGTCCTCCTTGTAGCTCAGCGGCCAGATGCCCCGGTAAAGATTCGACTGACGTGCAATCCGATTGTCGCCCGAAATGATGCTTATAATGAGACACGGTGGCCGATAATGGCTCAGTGAGAACGAGGAGAATCCCAACGAGGTGAGAACTATAATGGCCTTGGCCTTAGCCCGGATAGCTGCACTTACGGCGGCTATTAGGACGACCTGCTCGAGCTGGTTAGTTGCGCTCTGCACCAGTTCCGTGAAGAGGTTCTCATACCAGATGGAGGCCTCGGCTTCGCGACAAACCTTGCTCATGGTCTGGACACACTCCACCGGATAGTCGCCCATGGCTGTTTCGCCGGATAGCATGACACAGTCGGCACCGTCCAGCACGGCGTTGGCTACGTCGGAAAGTTCGGCGCGCGTTGCACGGGGTTTCCTGATCATGGACTCGAGCATTTGGGTGGCGCAGATGCCCGGCTTGCCGGCCCTGTTGCACTGGGCGAAAATAGTCTTCTGGGCAAGGAAGACCTTTTCCGCGGGTATCTCAATGCCCAGATCCCCGCGAGCCACCATGACGCCATCGGACTCCTCGATTATATCCTTAATATTCTGCATGCCCTCATGGTTCTCGATCTTGGCAATGATCTTGATGCTCTTGCCCCGCTCACCCAGCACCGAGCGTATTTCTTTGATTCCATTCGCATTCCTTATAAACGAGGCGAAAATGATGTCCAGGTTTTGGTCTATCGCAAACTTTAGATCAGTTTTGTCCTTTTCGGAAACGGCGGGCAAATCCACATTCGCTCCGGGCAAGTTGACGCCCTTTCGTGATCCCAGCTTGCCCCCGTTTTGCACCTTGCAAACCAACTCTTCGCCCCGGACTTCCTTTACTACCAACGAGATCTGTCCGTCGTCCAGAAATACGCGATGCCCAGCCTTGAGCACTTTGGTAATGTTCGCATAGTCCACATAGACCCTCTCCTGCGTGCCATTTTCCTGGAATTTTTTGTTGGTGCTTAATATAAAGGTTGCCCCCTTTTCTAACTCGACAGTCGCCGAGGCATTGCCTCCGATGAGACCGATACGTATTTCGGGTCCCTTTGTGTCGAGGGCAATTCCCAAGTGGAATTGGTAGCCCAGGTTTTGGGAGTGGCACTCGACGGCTTGGCGCAGATTGGCCACGGTCTCCGCGTGGTATTCGTGCGATCCGTGCGAGAAATTCAAACGGGCCAAATTCATTCCAGCTTCCAACAGTTTCATCAACATCTCAACACTACGCGAGGCGGGTCCTATGGTGCAGATAATTGTCGAGAGTCGTCGAGTATTTGTCGGTGCGTTATACTCTATGAGGCAGGAGTGTTCCAGCTGACTTTTGGCCTTCTGGACGACTGGTTGTGTCTTCTCACTCCTAGGAAAGAGACCGGGGGAGACACAAATAAGCTCTGCAACGAGGTCAGCCTTTACTTATTTCATTGATACTATTCGATCAACGAGGCAACCCGGAGATCTCCGGGTAATAAACTGAACTCTTAGTGACACAAATAAGCTCTGAAACGAGGTCAACCTTTACTTATTTTGTAAATCCTATTCGATCATCAAGGCAACCTGGAGATCTCTCTCCCTAGAGATACAGAACAGAATAAGCTCTGGAACGAATAATTCCCTGTCAACCTTTACATAGCTTATTAACCTTTTGCGATCAAGGAGACAACCTGGAGATCTTTCGGTAATAAACTTCCTAAAGACACAAAAAGGCTCTGGAACGAGCTAAACCTTTCCATATTTGATTTATCCTATTCCATCATCGAGGCAACCTCGAAGCAAGATCTCTTAATAATAAACCTAGCTCTCCCTAGACCTCTACTTATTTTGTAAATCCTATTGGATCATCGAGGCAACCTGTAGATCTCTCGGCAATAGCCTTAACTCTCCCTAGAGTCAACGATGTTTGTCAATTCGTTTCGCAATGCTCTGTATGTAGACCTGATGTTTGGCTGAAAAACTCACATGTTTCTCACGTAAATGTGTGCCATCAAACGTGTAGCTCTCATTAAAGTTATGTGCCGCCCAAAGGCGTTCTTGAATACCAAATAGCGGGCATGTCGCTGGCACGAAATCATGTCCGTTTTACCTAAAATTTGGAATTTAACTGGCCGTAAAATAAAAGAAAAGCACAAAGAAACAAACAAAATGAATAAACAAATGCCTAAACACAAAATATATATATATTTTGAAGTCAAAGTAAAGGCTATTGGACACATCAAATGTTACAGTGTAAAATAAATAGATAACGCAACCTTCTACGCAGTTATAGCATAATCTGAATATCGAGCACTCTGGTCCCACTGTGCAGCAAACACACTGCGAACAGCCGCCCGCATGCGAAAGCGCATGAGCATGTGTCGCATGTACGCATACTTAGTTGACGTAAGTGTGCATGCGTGTGTGCATGCGCGTGTGTGTGTGTGTGCAAAAGCGATATGGGAGGGACCACACACATTGCTCAAATTTAGTTACCCACGCTGCTTAAAACGAGTCAAGTTTCGCGGCTAGGCCAGCAATTAAAATAAAGTAAATGGGACGATGACGATGCATGCAAATTGTCGTTTGCCGGCAATTTATGGCGCCCCTAAAACGTGACCAGCAAGCGTTCAAGCATGTATTTGCATACATGCATATGTATGTATGCATGTGTTTTGGCCACTACGTCGCTCTTCATTCAGCGAAATCGGTTAAAATTCAAAAATAAAACAACAAAAAAAACTGAAAGAAACAAAACGGTTTGAAGGTCATTGGAGCAGCTGGATCTGTTGCCAGACCGTGAGAGCGTCGGGCAGCTTTGGTTACCGTTAGGAAGCACGGTGACAAAGCCAAGCACACACACACACAGACACACGGCTGAGCCAGAGAGCGATCAGAAAGAGAGCGAAAGCGACCCTACGCTGCTTCACTTTGTTGCTGTGCTGCTCTCTCCATACGCTTTAGCTTTTGCCTTATAAGCACAGTTTATGCTTTTATAGCGTGGGCGTTGCAGCCAAAAAAGAAAGAGTAGAAATAATGTTCAACTGGCGGCTGTCATAAAAATGTAGCAATAACTTGAAATTTAACTTCACCTGCCCGGCAAACAAAAAATAACGCTGCTTCTTGCTTTGCTTTTAAGCAATTTAATTTCTTTATTATTTTCATACGAAAAGGCCCAGAGATACCGACGCACACATGCTCTTACACACACACACACACACACACACGCACGCACGCACGCACACAAACAGTCGGTCAGTCAGGTAGCCAAGGCGGCCACGTCGCTCATTCTCATTGAGACACAGGTACACACGCACCGAACCTGAAGCCGAGCCCGAAACTGAGTCGGCAAGGGAGAGGGCGAGGGCTCAATCTTGAAGTCAAAACTTGGGCCTGGGCCCGAGCCTGAGCCCTACGAGCTAGCATGTCCGTTGTTTGTCCGGGCTGTCCGTTAACTGCTTTTTCAGTGAATTCCGTGATTATTGCTTGAATGTTTCTTTCCGGTATTCGCTTCGCTCTCCGTCTCTGTTTCAGCCGCAGTCGCAGTCGCAAACGCAGTCCCAAAAGCCGCTCTCTCTCTCTCTCTCTCTCTCTCTCTCTGTTACAGTTGCTGATGCTCTCTCATGTGCTGCCCAATGTCACTGCGTCGACATCTTCTTTTGCTTTGGTACCTTCTTCGCTGTTGTTGTTGTTGTTTTTTGTTGTTGTTGCTTTTATCTGCTTCTCTCGGTCGGTCGGCCGGCCTGCCTGCCCGCTTGCTGTGTGGTCAAGTTAATGTCTTCATAATTCTTTTGATTTTTTTTTCTTACGTCTTACGTTCGTTCGTCTGTTGTTTTTGTTCCCCGTTGCCGTTGTTGTTGTTGTTGTTGTTGTTCCCCGTTGCTGGGGCACGATGATGAAGACAATAACAGTTTTATGTGCGGCCAGAGACAGAGGTAGGGCCCGACACACAGCCGGCCTAATGAAGCTGAGTGAAAAACACATTTCGACTTCCAGTTCCCCGTTCCCAGTTACCCCAATAAAGTTGTCTCCGTTTCGGTGTGAGGCCTCAAAATTGAGCTGTCAATTGGGGCTGGGGCAACGTGTGGGTGCTATTTGGGGCACTGACTCCGAATCATTCGTTGTGCGTGTGCGTGTGCGTGTGTGTGTGCGTGTGTGCGTGTGTTTTGGGTATTTTTAGTTTTAATTGGGGAAGCATGTTCCCAAAAGTGATCGCTCAAATGTTAAGAAGATTAAAGAGCAAAGGATCAAAAGTGATCTAGGCGTTATTTTATGATTAAGGTGGGGTCAAATTCTTCAATATATACAATATAATGACATATTAGATACATTCGAAATATGGGAAACTTTCGATCAATTTAGAAACCTCTTTATAATATATTCCACTTTGCATATAAGGAAATATCTGAAGAATCCCTTGTATTTAGTTTCCCACTCCACAAATTCAAATCAGAGCCGCTCAAAATAAATATTATGCCAAGATAAGATCTGCTGATAAGATCTCGTGCAACAGGTGTAACTCACATAAATCATTCTCGCACGTTGGCCCAATATTTGTTATTCCATATCCGATAAACTTGAATCGGAGACCGGCAACAGCAAGATATCAAATGAAAAGTTTGACAAAAGATGAAAATGACAATCAAATATTTTTGAGTAAAAATAAAAAAATAGTGTATCTTTTTCCGCTCGAGGAAGATCGACTAAGAGATACACTACAGTAGAGGGATCTGGGCAGATTTTCTTTCTCACTTTAATATACCCGCTTGATGGATACAGGGTATTAAAACAAAGACAAACAGCTTATAAAAACCCCACACAAAAACAAACCTAAAGATCAGAGAAAAGCGAGGGGCGAGTTTCAAGTGCAGAGAGACCTAGGGAGGGAGAGACAGCTGTGTGGCAACTAATCCTTAAGCATACACAGGTCTAATTCGAGAGGGAGGGCCGGAGACGCAGAGAGAGAGAGAGAGAGAGAGAGAGAGAGAGAGAGAGGCCTGCATAAATTGCTCGCGCTCGCGGTGCTCAGCTCCAAGGGCTGAAGTCGAGAGACGAAGTGGCTTCCGAGAAGACCAAAGAAATGTTGTTGTTGCCCAACAAAATGAAGATATCTCACGCCTACAAGCATTTCCGGCTTACATTTGACAGAGGGTAGCGTATTAGACAAAGAGCGGAGAGGGGAGAAACGGAGAAAGCGGGAGGAAGTACTCGGGCTTAACAAGTTAACTGTAATCTGAGGTGCGAGGCGTGTTAAGGACAGCCGCGGCAAAGATATGAAGATATTCACGTTCCAAGAAAGGGTGTCAACCTAGTCAAGAAACTGTATATACCCTACAAATCTACTTGCTGCGCCTTGACTTCTGCCAAAGATTACGAAAAGGGTGAGACTGAGGCATCAACAATACCCAGAAACTGAGCGACGCTTAGTATTTGAAAGGGACGCGTCCTGAAACACACTTAAAAATGGACAGAAAATTTTAGGGAATACAAAGGTTCATGTTAAATGTAATAGACTTTCCCTCAGTTTGGCCCTAGAGCCAGGTGCTTTCCCCGTTCCACACTCAAATCCACGCTGTGGCGTGGATTGGCCGAAATCGATTAAAGACTTTTGAAAAAGAATTGATCAGTTAATTCGTTAATTAGTTGATGAGGGTTTACGTTAAAGTAATAGACTTTCCCTCAGCTTAGCCTTCGAGCACATCAAGATGCTAGCCGGATACTACACGGCTTTTTTTCCCCGTTCTAGCTTGAACCCCCATTTCCACGCTGTAGCGTGGATTGTCCGAAAACGATTAAACACGTTCGAAAACGAATTTATCAGTTCATTCGTTAATTTCGACGCAGATCAAACAAATGCTGATATACCTTATAAAAACCAGGAAAGGTTTTTTCATCATTCTTCATCAGTTGCGAATAGAATCCGGCAATCCCACAGAGGATCTTCCCTTTGACTGTGGCCGGATGATGGAAATTTCGTGGTTTCTGCACTGCGCAAACATCTTCAACTTGTTGACTATGCAAAACATGTTTGGTCCGCAACTAACTCCGGCTAGTATTGATGTTTACCCAACTTATTAGGATCTCGCTGCTTGTTTACAATTTCAGGGTTTATGCTACTGGTTTTCGATTTTGGCCATGTCAATTTTTGAGTAACGTTTGCCGCGAAGCCCGATAAATATTTGTTTTTCATGTGCTGTTGTGAAAAGATCGGGCGGCATGACTTAACAAAATTTCTTACCCCCACCAGCAAATGCCGCATAAACAACAACGAAAACTTCTTCAAAATGCCGCCAATGCGGCTCAACTTCCTGTGCTGAGTGCTTGTGTGTGTGTGTGTGTGCGAGTGTGTGTGTGTGTGTGTGCGAGTGTGTGTGCTTTACAATTGGCACAGCGACAGATGGTAGAGACGAGTCGGGGTGCGGGAGAGACGTGCCCCAGCGATTTCATTCATGAATTTATATACACATACATATAAATGTATCTTATAGATACAAATACAATGACCCTCGTCTCCAACGCCGCACATTCGTACATGGCCTGCATCCATAGTACGGTATTGCCATAAATAAACATGCGGCACCAGCAAATAAAATTCATACGACTAATCCCAGCTGCAAGACTTGCAGATACCCTACAATTTGTAGGATAATCATTTTTGGTGCAGATTAAGTATTGATAGATAGATAGATAGATTAATTGTTAACTAATTACTAAAAAAAAAAAATAATTTAAGAGAATCTTAGCTCCATCAAATATTAAGTCGTGCATGGCCTGTGTTGGCAAACGTTGCGAGGTACAAACAAATGGGCGAAAAAGATTATGAGTAAGAGAGACGAAAAACAACAACATAAGCTGATCGGCACAGTTTGACATTCACCCCATTGATGGAAACTTGAGGCAGGGACCTCCCAGGAGGGCCAACGTCTGTTGCTTGTTTTTGGTAATAAACATAACGTTGGCCAATTTGCATATGCGCAGGCCAAATGAGCGAAAGAGGCTAACACAATGCATTTGGCCGTTTTGTTGTTATTGTTGTTGTTGTTGTTGTTGTTGTTGCCTGGCTTCGTTAGACGAAATTAATGTCTTAATATATTTCGCTAAATTGAGTCATTAAAATAAATCGCCCATCGTCGATGACGACGACGCCGTCACGAGCAAAAGGCCAAACACACAAAACAC